CTGCGAACATTTGGTACTGCGTTTAAGGAGTACTAACAGTAAGAGTGTTCCGATGGATAGTGATGAAATTTCATAATATGATTAAGATCTAGTTGGTAATAGTTTTCGTAAGAATTTTTAGTTTTAACATATTTTTATTTGGGAAACGTACCGCTGTCCACAGGTGGTCCCGGAAGTCTCTCCTGCGGTGATCATCAACACTCTTCCATCTTCACCGGAGTTCCTTGTTATTGGACAATCCCTCTTGAAGTGTCCAGTTTCGCCACACTTGTAACAAGCCTGGCTTACCCCAATGCCGAGATTGGTTGTGCCGGTGACCTACAGAAACGGGCAGTGTGCCCCTTATTGTTGTAGTTTTTACAGTGCATTACTCGGCAAACTCCCGTGTGATGGAAGTTGCACTTGGTACACTTTGGAAGGCTTCCATCATATCGATTGGGCGGGGGGGGGGGGGGGGGGGGGGGGGGGGGGGGGGGGGTTGGAGTGGCAGGTGTTGTGGCTGTAGGGGCTGCCACAAGCTATGGTCTCTTGGGAGGACCTTGAGTCGAACTGCTCCCTCCCTTGTTCCAGAATTTTCGTTTCTTATTCTTAGCTTTGTGGTCTGAGATATCCTTGACAACAGACACTAGTCGGTGCCCTTGGTTGCTATTGCGATTAGCATTGTTGGTACAGTTTCTGTGGCCGCTTGTGTTGTCAACATTGAGTTTTGCCATGACGGCTTTCACGGCGACTGTGACCGCAGCTTGAAAGGTAGCGGAGTCTATCTGCATAATTAGTGTTTCGCCGGTTGGCTGGTTACTTCCTTGGGAAGGCATGATTCTGTTGCATGATGAGAAACGAGCTCGTTAGCAACTATGGTCGTTTCTAGTCATATTCCATCTATTTATATATATATATATATATATATATATATATATATATAAATTCTTCGTTTTGTTGAACTCTTCTCAATGTTCCTGCCATCATCCCTGAGATGTACTTATGGTAGGGAGTAGAAGTAGGTATTTTACAAGTGTTAGGTTTACTAAAATAAACTATGGGTGCCCATGGCTTTCTTCGTGGTTAGGATGGTTAGCACCATTATCCAACCCACTGGTACCACTTGTGTGGATTTGAGTCATGACGGCTGCTACAGCGGCCTGAAAGACAGTAGTGTCGTATAGTGGAGGATTTGTTGACGTTTTGTTGAGGGCACACCTTATAGGTCTATGGGGAGGCACCCTTCTACCGTGAGGTTTTAAAAGATGGAATGGTGGTAAGTCCTTAGTAGTGGTTATAAGTCGAGTGTCGTTTGAACTAAGTTATCTTAGTTTTGTGTGTATCATGTTCCGAATTTTATAATGTTTTGAAAACAATTCATAACAGAGGTCTATGTACAATAGACTTATGAATTTTTAATAGTGACCACCTTTAAATGAGACTCCGTGACCTGGTTCACTGTTACTAATTGCGACGAAAGAGGCAATAAGCCTAACACATAGTCTGAGTAGTATAATCACTAACTCACTAGTTATATTTGTTTATTAGTTATTAGTATGACGCATAAGGAGCTCGGCCTTCTCACGTGATTCGCGAATAGTCTCTTCTACTCTCTGTCCTAGTTATGATTGCCCTAGCTGCAGTTGTAACGGTTCGTTTTCTCCCGGCATTCCTATGGTGTTATCGTCCCTATGATTGCTCTAAACTGGACTGAAACGTCTAAGGGGGCTCTCCGGTTGGTTTCTGATAGGGTATGGTTCGTTAGTGATCTTTCTAGTGCCTTCCTCTTCGTCCGATCCTTTCTCGGAATTCTCCTCGTGAACCCTCTTTTGGTTCTTCCTCGACTCCTCTATTGGCCGTGGTAGTGGGGTTGCGATGTTTAGATATGTTTTTTATACGGGAATTAGGGGCGTATAAAGGATCTATGAGATTAATATAAGTATTTTTATTGAAATTTTTATGATGATCCTTACCGAGTCCTCCTATAATCACATAGTGTATACATATTATATATAACCAAGATCATATAGACCTTCGAATAAGTGATCCTACTCTAAGACCACAACCAAACAAGGAACAGGAAGTAGAGCGAAAATCACAAATTCTAAGTCTATAAAATTCAATTATATATAACCTTAACGTATACGCTCAATAATTATAGACCTACCAGGAAGGGTCTTTTAGTTTTCACATAAGTTAGTTATAGTGCCTAAAATACTCCTATAGTATTTTAATTGTATGTTTGATTCTACAGCTTCTTGATATACGAATTTGATAAGTTTTTCGACTTTTTGTTATTGTATAGTATCACAAAAATACTCCTATAGTATTTTAAACTTTATGTTTGGTTATAGTATTCCTTTGTATAGAGAGTTGGTAAGTTTTAGATTTGTTGCAACACCACAATCGCTCTCAAACACATGTTGGTCGTATCTCAAATAAATATAATTGATCAGACTATATTTATCCTAAATATGATTACATAACTGTCTTGGTTTGACTGTAGTGTCCAACCTCTAAATACTTATGCTTCGTTCTTCTTGTAATACTTGTTCTAATATGTATGTACATATGTTCGTATACTTCTCATAAAATACTTATATTTTAAAAGTATACTTTTAGTCAGAGCACTTCGGCCCCTTTGTATTTATAGTTGTATATCTTCTTATGGGTAGATATATTGAGTTCATTATAAACAATGCTCTGATACCAATCTGTCACACCCCTAAACCGAGACGGCGGAAACGTTCGGGGGCGGAGGACGTCATGAACAATATCATCACAATTGAATATTAGTAGTCAAAGCAACAACAACCGTTGTATTGATAATATAGTGTTTACATTGTATTTGAAACATAGCTTTGAAAGACTTCCAAATGTATATAGTAAAAACTAAGACTAGAAGTTATTATGCTCCGTCTTCTTGAAAACCCGCGCGTGTACCTGCCTACTGGTTTCCTTAGAATACAAGTAATTTTGAAAGTGTATCAACATTTAAGTTGGTGAGTTCATAAGTATTTTGTTTTAGAAAATAAGTTCTTTGTTCCTTGAAAATGTTCGTATGTTCCTCCAAAAAATCCTATATTTTCTTAGTAAAATAGAATGTAGTCTTAGTCCCTTCGGACCAAAATGTATAAATGTTATCGTATGCTTGAGTGGTAATATCACGTAGATTTTTAAATCTATATAAAAACCATTTGGATGCATGATTTCTGAAATGAAAGTTGTTTTGTACTTGAAAACGGTGCAAAGTAGTTTTATAACGATACAACCCTTATGTATGCATGCTCTCGGGTAAAAGTTACTCCAGATATGTAAGTTTCTGTGTCTTAAAATAGAGTACTCCTAGAAAGACCTATAACTTCCTTCTATAATCCCCCAGTGTATATATAAGTTATATAAAAATCAAGATCGAATAGACCGTCGAATATAAAGGGTCTGCCCTAAGCCAACAACCAAACGAGGAACAGGATCTAAGGCATACCTAGCCATTTCCAAGTAGATCGTGTCTAAATTTTATATAACCCTGCCGTATACACGTAGCAATTATGGATGGAATCTAACCATTCTAGACGAAATGTAGTCTTAACTACCCTAAGACCAATAATAGTGAGTGTTTGTTCGTGTAAATAGTACATTGTAGTAGTAGTACATAAAGAAAACTTCTTTCTTTATAAATGTAATGTGTATTCACGAAAAATCCAATAATTTTCCTTATAAACTGGTTGTAGTCTTGAAAACCCAAGACCGAAATGTACAAGTGTTTTCCATACTTATGAGAGTAAGTGCAGTTTTAAATAAATAAAACTCTTATGAATGCATGAATCCCCGTAAACTATATGTGTCGTTGTTTCCGTATGTGAGTTATTATAACCGTGTAATTGACATAGCAATGCCTGTTACGACGTTCTTCGGGCGTCAGAATGTTTTGACATTTCTCACCCCAGACCTGCCTGTGTAGCTATTGTAAGCAACTTAGGGTGCGGGATTGTCAGTCCCAATATAGATCTATACACAAGTATCACGCTCTCCCTACAAGAGATTAAGGTTATAACACAGGACTTTAACCAGCACTCAAAGAGTACAATGAAGTAGTGTCTCATAAATTTGATTCAACGTGTGTGTCGTTGTTTCCCTATGTGAGTTATTATAACCGTGCAATTGACATAGCAATGCCTGTTACAACGTTCTTCGGTCGTCGGAATTTTGTCACCCCAGACCTGCCAGTCTAGCTATTGTAAGCAACTTAGGGTGCGAGATTGTCAGTCACATTATAAATCTATACACAAGTATCACGCTCTCCCTACAAGAGATTAAGGTTATAACACAGGACTTTAACCAGTACTCTAAGAGTACAATGAAGTAGTGTCTCACAAATTTGATCCAACGAGTTTACGTGTAGTGTGAATGAAACCTTCCTTAGTATGTTCGTAGTGTTAATGTACCATAAACTATATACCTATTATAGTTTATCTTATATATACCTTCCTTAGTATGTTTGTAGTGTTAGTGTACCATAAACTATACCTATTATAGTTTATCATATGTATACCTTCCTTAGTATGTTTGTAGTGAATGAAAATCCTTATGATGAACGACTAATTCTGTTTCATGAAGGTAAACTATCATGAAATACAATCAAGATGCAGCTAAACATGGTTATACACTTTGCTCAACATGTTACAAAGTGTTAATGCATTTATAAACTATTTTACTAGTTTTAACTTTTCTGTCACTGTTTTTAGAAAATTCATAGAAAAATCATAAGTCGAAAACTGAATCTGTAAACTCTGGGAGTTTAGAAAATGTGTCTAGTTTGTTCATAATTTTTGTTATGATTTTTAGAGGTCTCTAACCAGTGTGAAAATGTTCATATTCACAGACTGTGTGACATCCCCATTTTCACGGCCATAAAAGACCGGTTTTGTTTATGCTTTATAAAAATCAGAGTACCGCTTTTAATAAAAATGTTGTGGAATTTGTTCCCAGTAAAACATGATAAATACGTTATCAAAGCATTTCCGAAGAGAAGTATTTTTATTCATTTTAATACATTTGGGATGTCATCGTCAATACATAAACATAAGCATAAACAGAACTTACATTCATTATCACTAGTGATTTATATCTCCTTAATCTCTCAGTGTAATGTGACTTCATATCAACACCTGTGATATAAATAAATTGAGTGGGTCAGGTTGGGAAACCTAGTGAGTACATAGGGTTTTCAACCCACAGTAATATAATTATTATGTTTAAACATCAAACAATCAACCCAATTACCCATCCCCATTATCTTCTTAAGGATTTACCCTAAGAATCAGGTACTCCTCGTTCATTCATTCCTAAGGATCATCCTAAGGAAACGGCACGAAGTCCATCGTTGCCAATGACACAGTTGTCGAGCACAGCTGCTAATATTATCACTTAGGCGCAACTGCCAGAATTGTGATATTCTCTATGAGGCGCTTCTGCCGGTATTGTCCTTTAACCGCTACTGTCATGGTTATAATGTTCTCTATTAGGCGCAGCTGCCGATACTATCCTTAGAGCGCAGCTGCTAGGATGTTTACCTAGATCAACAACATCTACAGGTTGTGGCGCAGCTGCCAATGCTCATCTATAGGGTATTAGGTCCATTGTTGCCAATGTTCACCTATAGGGCACTATGTCCATACTACCAATGTTCCTCTATATCAGCTTTCATCCCTCATCATTCATTTACTCATGTTTTACCCAACATATTTTGTAGATATAAAATACATATACATTTTAAATCATTTAAAACATGTATAAAATCGTTCATCCAGCATAGATAACAAGTATACAGATAATATGCACACATAGCACATAATTTATATAAAATACGTCATATCTATGTGTAAGATGAAAATAATTATGCACTCACTTGATAAGGTGGTGACTCGGTACTCGGACAGCGCTTCGTTTACTTTAAAATAATTTCCTTCGACGAAACCTACTATTATTACCACTAGATTTTAATCTAATATTTACCGTGACTAATTATTAGTCTTGTTATTATTATTATTATTATTATTATTATTATTATTATTATTATTATTATTATTATATAAGCGTTTAAACAATATTTTCTAACCACTATGTACAGACAGGGGTCAGACATAAAACACCGGAGGGCAGGACCATTTTGGCATATAGCACTTCTGAAATCCAACAACCCTATGTGGCCCTTTAAACCAGATTCCCCGTACCGCGACTAGTTAAAAAGATATAATAACGACACTTATATAAGTCATAGTAATAGTCCAAATATTTATTATAAGTTCATAATAACAATACTAATTTTAAATATAAACTATATTAAAATAGGGTAAGCATAACTTACTTATAAGGGGGTTTTAGCTAGGAGTCGGGCTCTGCAGGGGCAGAACTTCGTCGCTGAATCTTTCTAAGAAAGATTCGTGCAGCGCTTCAGCGCTCACCTTACTATACTAAAACTACAGAAAGAAAAGTCGAATCACGAGGGACCGAAATGCTCGGGGGATAAGAAGAAAAAGACTCTTGAATCAAGAGAATGGTGCAAGAAATATGAGAGCTAGAGGCTCTTATTTATAGTAATTGAATTTTCAAAAACTACCCTCTATATTTACTTAAGGACCTTATACTTATTTAAACAACTAAACACCCCTTTATAATACTATTTTAAATAGATTTAACGATATTTGTATTAAACTAATGTCGAAAGTATTCAACGCTAGTCTTATAATGACCGCATCGTTGATACCTTTCTAATGATATATACATATGTATATATATGTGTACGTATATATGATTTATACTTTATTTTAATACATAAATATGCTATTATAATTTGTAACTCGTTCATACGAACTCCGTTTTTGATGCTCTTTATATCCACACGTAGGTGGAGACGTACTCTACAACTTTCATTTAGACTCTGTCAGCTAATTTTGACTTTATTTTTAAAGTTATATTTTTAACAAGCCGGGACAGGAAAAGTCCGTTAAAAAATCATAACTTCTTCATCTGACGTCCGTTTTCGTCTGTCTTTTTACCGTTGCGCTACTATTAATGAGATCTTCAACTCTCTCATTTAGGTTGCGTTGGCCAAAAATCGATCAATCTAAAATTCGAATTTCGGGTCGTGCACTGATATGCCAAATCTTAGAAAATTCATAACTTCCTCATACGAAGTCAGATTTGGGCGTTCTTTTTTTTGTATGTTCTCGGTTTAACGTATACTACAACTTTTGTTTAGATCACTAAGGCTAAAAAGTCCTCTATCGTAATTTCACTATTTATGTCTCCCGGTGCCGTGCCGGTTTTGCCGTAAAACTTCGACGGGCCATAACTTCTTCGTTATAACTTGGATTTCGGCGTTCTTTATATGTACGGAACCCTTGTAACATATACTACCACTTGGTTAAGATTATACTTCTAAATAACCTTCCATCAAAAACTCATTTTTGATGCTCGTTGTCTCTAAATTGATTAGCCCGGATCTACGGGCGTTACAGACTGGTCCGAAATCATTTTTGAAATGATAGCCAGTTTTATAAAAATCGCCATAAAATGTAGAAAATTCGTATGAACGTGTGCAAGTAGTCATTAGAAAGGTATAAACCTGAACCAAATTCATATTAAACAGTTTTGGAAAATATTAAGTTTAAGATGGTCAAAACAGTTCATGAATAGACCATAACTTTTCTGTTGAAAGCTGTTGATTTAGTTTAGAATATGTTTTGGGTGTTGTAACTTGTATTCCCACTAAAACTTGAAGAAAACATGAAAATGTAGGGGTATGAACTCACCTTCTGTGATTTCTTGAAGAATGGAAGGTTGAAGATGAAGAGTTTCAAGTCAAGAACACTTGAAAGATGCTTGAAGATTTGAAGATCCTAAGAACAAATATTTGAATATTTGTGTAAATGATCACGATTTGTATGAAGACCGTGTAGAAGTTTAGAGAATATACTTACCAATCCAAAGGAGGAAAGTTCAAGAACTTCTTGGAGAAGTCGTGAGAGAGAGAGAGAGAGATGTTTGCTTTTGGTGATAACAAATGAAATCTTGGAGAAGTGAAACAAATTTCTTGGATTTGTTCATAAAGGTTGATTGGATGAAAAGAGTGTTGAAAAGGCTAAATTAACTGACTAGCTAGATGTGAATAGTGACATAAAGTTGTCATAGAGTGGATATGAGAGTGGTTGGTGTCATAACTTAATGAGAAAGTCAAAGAGTGCCTTTATGCACTCTTGATATTTTATCCCAAGAAAAATATGATTTATATTAAATAAAACTTCAAAATGGGGATAAAATATGAGTTTAAAGGGTTTAAAATGTCAAAATTATGAATTCGGTGAAATTCCCACGTCAAAATCATCAAAAACGGGCTTAAAATGCAAAAGTAGTCAAAAACCGGGAGAAAGAATCGAAGGTGCGAGGCTACCGAGAAGGTTCGCGTGAGAGAGGGTTCGTGGGTGAGAAGGTTCGTGGTATGAGAGGAGTAGGCGCGAAGGTAGGGCTCGCTGCGAGTGTCCTCGGTTCCTGCTATGCGAAAGTCCTCGGCCCAAACACGAGAGTCAACAACTTCCGGTGCGAAAGTAGCTTCGCTTCGAGAGGAGCGTATGCGAAAGGAGGCTTCGGTCCGAGAGGCTAGGGTGCGAATCTTCTCGGTTAGACAGAAAGTCCGATCAGAAGCGAAAGTGAGGTTCGCATCAGAAGGGTTTCGCGTTATGAGGGTTTCGCTTCTTGAGAGGGTTTCGTTTCTTGTGAGGGTTTCGTTTCTTGAGAGGGTTTCGCACCCATTGTGTTGTTTTTCATATTTTCTTCCTGTTTCGAGTGATTTTCAACTAATTGAAGAGTCGGGATGGCCGGTGTTTATAAAAAGTTGAAAGAGATTTTGAGAGAGATTTGTGAGAGATTTGGGAGAGAGAGAGAGAGATAGAGTGAGAGGGATTGAGAGAGACTTTATCAGTGGCCTTTATTAGTGTTTGGCCCCATAGTGCAAGGTTCGTAAACCCCATTATGCCTTGTTATGAGTGTTTTACACCCCCGAGGGGTACATAATAGTGCTTTATAGAGTCGTTACATCACTCACCCTCGTTAGAGTTTAGAATTTCTGAACATTTGAAACTTCTGAATGCCACTTTGTATTATGATAGAGAGTTTGTACATTAGTAAACATAGAATGAGTCCTATCATACAAGCACTAGTTGAGTTTACCGGTTTGACTCGTTGACTTAGTTTGACTTTGACTTGACCAGAAATTGACGGTTGTCACATCATCCCCCCGTTAGAAGGAATTTCGTCCCGAAATTAGCATTTCGAATGGGACTTCAAGGATTGGGGAAAAGATGTGGGTATTTTTGCTTCGTCTGATCTTCTCGATCTCAAGTGAATTTTGATCCTCGCCTGACATTCCAACGGATATTCACTATTACGTCTACTGTTTTGATCGGTAGAGAGTGTGTGGATTTTAGTTGTCTACGTTTGTCTGAATGGTGCATTTGGAAATCACAAAACAAAAAGGTGTTCAACACGATTCCGACTACTCCCTCAAAGACAATGGATAATCTTATTACCTATTTTTCGCTTGGATAAGATATAGGGGTAGTTTTAAAAAGTGCAATTAGGCAAGCAAGAATTATTTCCCTTTTAATATTTTGTAGTTCTTTTTTTTTCCTGTTTTTTCCTGCCTTGAGCCTTGCTTGGTTTAGGCTTTTTTCTAATAAAATCCTTGCAAGTTCCAAAAAAAAGACTTCAAGGTTGGTGGATATAGATCACTCTCTCCACACCAATTCTTTACCACCTCATATATTATGTCACTCTCCATGCCACTCCATTTTTAGTTAGGAAATTATCACCATACAAAAATAATTTTCATGTCATTTTTTTCAAGTTTTTATTTTCTATTTCATTTTTTTTATAATTTTAAAAATAAATTACATAATTTTATAAAAAAAAAGTTTTATAAAACATAATATGAAAATAATTTACATAATCTTTTTTTTCTAAATACACTACTCGTGTTTTTGTGCGTCTTGAATATCAACGACTCTACGCAAATATTCTGTTGAACATGGTACAAAGTGCATGTGTCGGGGATCCGTTGACATATATTGTGTAATATTTCGCCTTTTATCTTCCACTATCATATTATGCATTATGATATATGCATAAATAATATATTGTAAGATTTTTGGGTCTTAAAATATCAGTTAACTTGGATAATTTATGGGATCGTGATTGCAATCACTTTCCAAAATCTGTGATTTCGACCATTATGTCTGGTATCACGAAATCTGATTTGGGATAATCCAAAAACTGCAATTTGGAAATCAGGCCACTTCAAAATTCAAAACACACAAAAATATACTTTGTCGTTTTGTGTTCTTGAGAGATAGAACAAATAAAAATATGACTTTCGTGTATTAGAGTTCCAACCTGTTTTCTAGAAACAGAAACGTTCTTATTCTAGAGAGAAATATGGTTAATGGCGGTTACATGCCAAATTGGCGCCAAAATGGTTAGTTAATAGACATAACCAATGTTTGCATCATCAAGATGTCATCAAGAGAGTTTTGGCGGGAAACTGCATGGATGGAGTCATACCCGATGTAAAATCCGTTTAGGTTTTTGGGAAAATGCATGGATGGAGTCATACCCGCTAGAGGCTCTACCCCTTGGACCCCGCTAAGGGCGCTTCCCCTAGACCCCGCCAAGGGGTTGCAGTCCCTTGGAACCCTACACCCACCCAGGGGCGCTGCCCATGGACCCCTGTATTCCCGAGTTCACATTTATCATACCGAGTGTGCACCCCACATCTCCAAACTCAGTTAGTAAATGAAACTCGACTTATCTCATTATTAATAATAATTACACCAAAATATGCTGATAAAACTAAAATCACCAACATATATCATAGAGTTTCTATCTCATATGGACTTGTTGCATGTTCTACTATTTGTCACTTCGACTTTAGAACTCCAAAAGCACGTCCAACATCCTTATGTCCTGCTTCCTGCCTTCTCTTGAATAGTTTTTCTTTTCGTTATACCGTATGTCGGAATACCTTTATGAATGTGGAATACGTAAGATATATTCCATCTGTAAGGTAATACCCAAACTTATATTTATTTCTTTTCACTGTGAAATAAACATCTACTACCTTTCCTGACAAAATATCGTTGAATATTGGTGACTGATCAACAACACTGATGCCGTTTTTGGAACCCACAACCCAAAAAAAGCATGTCAAACCCATAAATATTGGGAAACAATAGCCTCTAATACCATGGAAGATGTTCCATGATGACTACTTGCAAACTCCCATCTCCCCTCTGGGCATAATTTCTCCAATCCCAATGTGTGCGATTAATGTTTCCATTCATACCGGGAAAATCATGTCTCTCTTCATGTGCCGCATAATTCCTACTCAAACAAAACCTTTGTTTTGTAATCTTTTGAATTGTATATAAAATTATCCGCAAAGCAATCGCGATATAGACTTCCGTGTGCTTTCGCATGATTTATTTTTAACCTCACGTTTCTTGTTTGAAAGTGACTTTTTTTTAGTTCGTTAGTGTAATACTCATACATCATAGTGATAAACATATCATCATCATTAGAGGACAAATCAAAACAAATCTGTTGTTGGAAATTTATATAAACAAATAAGAAAATTGAGATTGGTGTGTAAAAAAATCAAATGGATATTATATTTATAGGATTTTTTTTAACAAAATTGACCGTTGTAGTGTTTTTCTTCGCATTGAGCAACGTCTCATTCTCCATGAGATGCAATTGGGTGTGTAGACGGGACAGTGTTCCTATTGCCTCAACGTCGTGGAGGCTGTCGATCTCATGGCCCATACCAAATAGCTCAATCATAAAATGCCCAAAAACTTTAACGGGGAACAAATTAAGGTGGAATGGAAACAAACGGACATTCCGACAACTTATAGTTGAAGCATCAAATTCCAATTTCCCACACCTCAAGAAATTGTTCAAATGTCAACTCCTTGAAACAATAGGATTTACTATTTTCATAAGCCGTAGAGGTATTTCTGTGTTGTTTGTATATATTTTTTCTGTGTTGTTTGTACATCAACTTCAAAATATTATTTTCTTCGATCATGTGGTTTCAAATAAGTAGGGATGAGCATTAGGACCGCCGGAACCGGAACCGGACCGGAACCGAACCGGAACCGGAACCGGAATTGGTAACAAGGTCCGGTTACCAATTCTCAATTTTTATATGAAAACCGGTCCCGGTTCTAAAAACCGGAACCGGTTTGATAATTTTTTCGTTTTTTAAAATGTGCATAACTCACACATATGAAGTCAGAATTATTTGATTTTTTTTCCAACATGTAATTCGGAGTTTGTAGTTCATATTTGACTATACAAACATATGTTTTGGTTAGATATTGAATCAGATACATGTCCCGAAAGAAAGAATATCGATACTGTGTTTTTTCTATTTCTGCATTTTTTTTGAATCTGTCCCATTTTTTTAAATGTGCATAACTTATTCATATGACGTCAGAATTACATAATTTTTTTTCCAACATGTAATTTGGTGTTTGTACTTCATTTTAAACTATAAAAACACATATTATGGTTAGATATTGAATCAGTTATAGACATCGGAAGACAGCATATCAATGCTGCGTATTTTCTGTTTCAACATTTTTTTGGAATCTATCCCGCTTTTAATATGCGCATAACTCACTCATATGATGTCGAAATTACTTGATTCTTTTTTCATCATGTAATTTAGTGTTTGTACTTCAATTTAGAATGTAAAAAGTCAAAATTTGGTTAAATATTGAATCATGTACAAGCTCTGGAAGATAACATATCATCTATAATAATTCAACCGGTTCTAGTTTGAAAAATAACCGAAAAACCGGGACCGGAACCGGAACCGGCACTAGAACCGGCGGTCCGGTTCCCGGTTCTTATAATATAGGAAAACCGGTTCCGGTTCCGAACCGGTCCGGTTCTAAAGCTCATCCCTACAAATAAGCGTATGTAGATTTTATTTATTATTAATTCAGTTTAAGACTATTTGATTACACGTCCATTTTGTTGCCTCTAGAGTAAAGTATTGCCATATATATATATATATATATATATATATATATATATATATATATATATATATATATATATATATATATATACTAAAACAAAGTCTATAGTTCACCTTTTAGTGTCAAATGAGTTATTTTCCATATCAAAATAGAATAAATTTGTATTATTTGTTAATTTGAAACTACTTCAGCCATTCAATAAAAAAATTGCAATGTTTTGACTCTACAAGTTTGTATAGAGTTTATAAATGAAGCATTAGTCAAATTTCCAAGATATTCTTTCATCAACACAGAATGAAAATAATCTTGTTAGCAATAAGTAAGAATTTTCATAATTTGTAGCCATCATAGATGCTTGTAAATGTTAGTATAATTCATATTTTATGACTCATGTCAACAAAAAGGTTAAAAACCAATCAACAATAATTATGGCTGTATACTTTTGTAGATGATTAGTTATAAACATCAATCAAAAGCATAAGATCAAATAATGCAACAGAGCACTGAAGTACCAAAAATATTAAATTGTATCCTCAAGATTTAAAGAAAAAGGAGTTAAAGTTTAGGCCAATTTTCTCTTCAAAAATTCCCCCAAAATAACTTTGGAGAGAAAGGAAGAAACAAAAGCATACCTGTGAACTACTATTAGATCAGTCATCAGTCTGAGCGTTTGTACGATGGATGCCTTCTTGCACCTCTTGCATTTTCATACTCGAACTCCAAAATATTGGAAATATGTGAAGTATCTTTGAGATAAAGCAACCTCCCAATCGAACTTTCTTCAATCGCCGGAAAACACCGTCTAATCTTACAATAAACCACCCAAAACCATACCCCACCAAGAAAAAGCCCAAGAGAAGCACCGGCAAACACCTGACCGACGGTATGGTACCCCAAATATACCCTAGAATACATCGTAAGCACTGCCAATGGCCAAACGACAAAACCCACGATCCACATTTGCTTTCTAAACAAAATCTCCAGTTTGTAATAAGTCAATAGAGTGAAATAGGTGGCGAAGAAGAACATGTAATTAGAATGGCTGGATGGCCAGCCATGTGAATCGCACATTTCGAGCAGGACGCAGGTTTCAGGTCGGGCTTGTTTGACGACTAGTTTGATCGAATCGCTGATGAATTGGGCAATTAATAAGCCTATAGCGAAGAACATACCTTGGAGCTCACGACGAAACATGAAATGGGAGATGAAACCACCGAGGCTAATGAAGACGGGAACTAATGAAATCCATGCTAAGAAATGGCCTAATTGATCTCCTCTTCGGTAACGGACATGGGTTAGGGTTACAGCTCTTAGTTGATTCGACATTGATGGAGTGAATTGATCAGAATTGGGTGTCATGTTTTAGGAGGTGATTGATTGATCAAATCTGGATTTAGGTTTGATTAGTAGTCGCCTTGGCTGCCCAACCACCTTTCATCCACACAATAACTAACTACTCATGAGTGGCCCTCTTTTCCCTGAAATTTTTGTATATTTGTTTAAAATATAATTATAATCAACTTCAAAACAAAAATTATAAATTTTAATAAAATTGACATCCAAGCATTTTACGATTCACTTTTAACTATAACAGCACATTTCTTATTAGAAAACCCTTGAATAAATTTATAGGAAATAATATACAAATTTATAGTTGTCTTGTTAACATTTAACAACTCATAATAATAATAATAATAATAATAATAATAATTAACCACTTGAAAAGATTAAAAATACTTATAACAATGTTGGGCATTGAAGCTAGGTGATTTGATCATGACTATAAAGCTAAAAGGAATAGATGGAGGATTTTTTACACATAAAAAGATGATCATATTAGCCAATATCAACTGATGTTCCACCAGTACGTTGTTAATAAATGGGGAGAATAAGATATATATATATATATATATATATATATATATATATATATATATATATATATATATATAGAGAGAGAGAGAGAGAGAGAGTGAGAGAGAGAGAGAGAGAGATGAATGAGAGAGATTGCGAGCAAGCATAGACTCACTCACGGATGGTCACAAGGCAGGGATGGTGTTCCCCCCAACTCACGCGTCAGTTTGAGTTCCATGTCATCTTACGCATAACAAAATGCTACCATAGAGTTTAGCCTAAGGCCACGTGGTGTGCATCTAACCTTCATACGTTATGCTTAGGTGACACATATTATAACATGTGTCATATGGGTTATACTGACATGAAGTGATAGGTATATAGGATAAGTGGTAAGAAAGTGGTGTCGATGTGTAAGGTGTTGTTTGTTTTTTCGAAGCGAAAATGTCTGAAGTCTGTGGACCACCTCTGCAACCCTCTGTAGCAGAAGAGGTGGAACAAACGGCTGCAGCATTTAAAAAAAATTTGTTTGTTTTTTAACGTCTGCAGACTGCTGCAGTAAGTTAAAGTAAGACGTGAAGAGGTTTGAAGCAGCTGGTTTAGTGCTGCGCCACGCAGCACACACACAACAATTTTTAAGTCAGAAGTCTTCTGAAAAACAAACAGCTGCGAATGGTCAAGTGATGCGCGTGTGCTGCGCGGCGCAGCAATAAGAGGCCATGAGAGGTTTTTTAGAAAAAACAAACAACACCTAAGTGATTTTTTTTTGTGATATACCCTTTAGCCTAACTAGTCCCACAAAATATTAGACACTGAGATACACATACAAGAAACATTTTTTTAAGGTCTAGAATTAAACATATTTTAGTCAAAAAATATATATTTTTTTTCTTTTGTAGATGTTTCATATACAAAAGATCTTAATAATAAGTTTGTATGTTTTATCTTTTTCTTATGACGGGTAATTGATAGTCTCTACCCTCGGAAAAAGATGCATACATCTTATTTCTTATTTACCTCATTCAGATATGCATTTGATATTGTATTTATTATAGTTGTTATTTTCGCTATGAAGATTAGTAAGACAATATAAAAAGTCATAACCCTTACAATTTAGATGACTCATATTGAACTCTAACAAACGTTCATCAAATTAAGATAGATCGTGTAACACTATCAATATTTTGGATCCGTCATGTTTGTAACATTGAACATTTTATGAGATTGTACACATCAACTATTAGATTGTACACATTTTTTATGAGTTTGTAAAATTTTTACTATCAATATTTTGGATCCGTCATGTTCAATATACATTAGTATTTGAGAACATTTTAGAAAAGAAAACCAACATCGAAACTAACATCAATTATATTTGTAATATATACAAAAATAGATTTTATGTGTATCTTATGTAGTTATGTATTTCAAATACCAGCAAAGTAATTGAATAAAAACTTACATTTATATCCGTAATAATTAAAAAACTATATAATTCTTAATAATGAAAAAACAAAAGTCTTTGTGTTATTTTCAGTTTGATATTTTACCGTTATTATGATAGTTTATGTTAATTATGACCCAATCATTAAAAAATATTTCAAGATTTCACCCCACTAGCAACATTTGACATTAGGTATACGGTTACTCCCTAATTGCTGATTTGAAAGAACAAACCCCACATTGGATCCATCTGTGTCTGATATTCAACATTACTGCAGAGGGTTTTGCTTGAGAACACGTTGAAAAACCTGAACTTGCTCCGTTTTTGGAGTCAAAACAATGGCCGATGAAAACGCAGCGACACCCAAAAGAGACCCCATCAAGAATCCTGGTTTGCTTTCTCTTTCCCTGGACAGTTCACAAGTCAAATTCACGTCTTTCTTCACATGTTTGTTCGAATTATCTTTAGTCGATTTTCGTTTTGAGTTATCGCTGTTAAGTATGTTAACTGAACAAATTAAGTAGACTATAGCTTCATGCGCTCTTTTTTCGAATGACAAAACAACTCTATATTGCTGTTTCACATTCGACCCCTTATATTTCCTCGATTGACATCTACTCTGCACTGATATCGATTTCATTTGGGTTTTAGGGGAAGTGAATTTGGATGATAACCCTAAAATTAATAGCTTGATTTGCACAATCAACTGACCAATCCACCAATTCTAGACTCCTATATGTAGATTAACTATTCGTTTTAATTACCCGATAGCTTGTTCTAGACTGAAATGTTATTTCATAATTGTAGTTGGGAACACTGCTGCACAAAAGAGAAAACAAAATGCAGTTTCAGTTGGTAAAGAAAGAAGAGAAGCTTTATTCAGAACCAAACGACTATGTAGAGCAGGAGTTAGCACCGATACAGATGTCCCCATTGATGATAATGAGATGATGATAGAAGAAGAACAATCAATTCTAGAGTCTCAAACAACTTCAGCTGTCCAAGAATTAAACCTTGCAGTCACCTTTCAGTAAGTTATCCCCTTTCCACAATCCTCAATTTCACCACATCAAATACCCCTTCATTCTCTTTGATAATCCTTAGGGGAAAAGGTGCAGTTCAAAAGAAAGTAAATGCTCTTCGTGAGTTAAGACGTTTATTGTCTAAATCCGAATTTCCTCCTGTTGAAACTGCTATAAAATCTGGAGCTATACCTTTACTTGCACAATGTCTTTCTTTTGGATCCCATGATGAACAGGTAATAAACAATAATAATAATAATGATTTTCTTCTTTTTTAGCATACCTTTTTTTAATATGTTTTAATTTTCATTCTGGATCCATAATACAGTTGCTTGAAGCAGCTTGGTGTCTTACAAACATAGCTGCTGGAAAACCTGAAGAAACAAGAGCTTTATTGCCTGCATTACCTTTACTCATTGCTCATATTGGAGGTCAGTGATAAGTACTTAGTTTTTATTCTTTCTTGTTTTTATTCATATCACTTCAATGGCATAATTGTAATTTTGTAATTGTTATCCAGAAAAGAGTTCAGTGCCTGTTGCAGAGCAGTGTGCATGGGCATTAGGAAATGTTGCAGGAGAAGGTGAAGAACTGAGACAAATTCTGATTTCTCAAGGGGCATTACTTCCTCTTGCAAAAATGATGTTGCCAAATAAAGGTTCAACAGTTAGAACTGCTGCTTGGGCATTATCAAATCTTATCAAGGTATGTGTACTTCCACATCAGCAATATATATTACCCGTGTATGTCCTACATGGACAATGACATTTGCTATTTTTTGCAATTTCTCCTTTGATGAGTTGTGTTTGTGGATGTAGGGACCAGACCCAAGGGCTGCAACAGAACTCATAAAAGTTGATGGTGTAGTTGAAGCTATACTAAGACATTTGAGGAAATCGTACGTTTTTTACACCATATCTAATTTTTTTTTTTTTTTCAATATTAAGTTGTTTTAACTTTTAATTTACTCCCTTATTATTTATTATCTTTAGCGACGATGAATTAGCGACAGAAATAGCATGGGTTGTGGTGTACCTCTCAGCTCTTTCTACTGTTGCTACTTCCATACTTGTGAAGACTGATCTTCTTCAATTACTTGTTGAAAGATTGGCCTCTTCAAATAGCTTGCAATTGCTCATTCCGGTAACAACTCAGACATGATTGCTATTTAAATTTAGAGTAAATTACATTTTTGGTCCCCAAGTAAAACTGATTTTTTCAATTTTGGTCCCAAAAAGTTTTCCCTTGCTATTTTGGTCCTTATTTGAGGTTTACGTAATGTTTTTTGTCGTTGTTCCAAGTAAAATGACTATATTTTTGGGACCAAAATTGCAAAAATTCACTATACATACATAGTAGGTACCAAAAATAATTATTTTACTTGGAACATGGACCCAAAACGCTACAAGAACCTCAAAAGAGACTAAAACTGCAAAAATCAGCTATAGTCAGGGACCAAAAGTGTAAATTACTCTCGAATTTATAAAGTGATATACACATGTAGGTGCTACGGAGTTTAGGTAATCTCATAGCAGGCGATGCTTACACAACTAATGCCATTCTTGTTCCTGGACATCAAATCACAGGCTAGTTTTATTTATTTATTTATTTATTTATTTTTCTGTTATTTTCTCAATTTAATCCTTCTTTCTGTATTAAGTTGAATGAAACAACGTTTTATAAAATTTGCAGATAATATCATACAGGCATTAAGCAAGTGTCTGAATAGTGAGCACCGTATCTTAAAGAAGGTATTCTCTCTCTCTCTCTCTCTCTCTCTCTCTCTATATATATATATATATATATATATATATATATATATATATAAATTTAACATTTGTAGGAAGCTGCATGGGTGTTATCAAATATAGCAGCGGGTTCAGTGGCTCACAAGCAATTGATATATAAAAGTGAATCAGTGCCAATATTAGTACAGCTTTTGTTAACAGCGCCATTTGATATTAAAAAGGAAGTGGCGTATGTTGTGGGTAACCTTTGTGTTGCACCAGCGGAAGGTTCCGGAAGGTCAACTTTGATATTTGACCACTTGGTTTCATTTGTTAGAAGTGGATGTGTTCGTGGTTTTATTGATTTGGTTAGATCTGCTGATATTGAAGCTGCAAGACTTGGTCTTCAATTCCTAGAGCTGGTGACTTGTGATATTTGTGTGTTTTTATATATTTTTTTACTTTAACCTTTTTAAACTGTCATAAAATTATAATGGTTTAACCTTTTTTTTTTGTAGGTGTTAAGAGGGATGCCGAATGGTGAGGGGCAAAAGTTGGTGGAAAGAGAGGATGGGATAGATGCCATGGAAAGGTTTCAGTTTCATGAAAATGAAGATCTTCGGAATATGGCTAACCAGTTAGTTGACAAATATTTTGGGGAGGATTATGGGGTTGATGAATAATAGGAAATTTGTTTGTGATGCCCCTTAAATTGATCATGTAACATTAAGGTTTGATATGGGTTAAATGTTGAATGTTGAATGTTGAATATATGTATGTTGTCAATGGCAGTGATGATTTTGTGTTGATGTCATGTAGGCCGATGAATGTTAGAAATTAGAAGGAGGAACTTGCTAAAAAGAGTTTTGACATTATAGTCCCTTTTCGTTATTTATGTTTAGTTATTTGTATAAAAAACTAGCAAAGTGTTGCAAGATAGCTTTATAAACAAGAAAATTTACTAAATAGCAACCATGGTTATTAAGATCCATATCTTAATTTTAAGACCTTATGATTCATCATTAAAGGGAAAAACGATCTCGATTAGACAAGGACTACTGTTCCCGAAGCAATATCTATACTAGAATCTTAGGATCCTACTAGGATTTTAAAATCTTAATCTGATTCCGATTGCATATCTTTAGTTGTTATTCTATTGCCAATTCTTTAGTCTTATACACCCTACAAATTCTATCATTTCTGCTAAATAAATCACATGCATGACTTAAAAATTGCCTATTCAACTTAATATCAAGCCTTTAAAAATTCACCAATTCAACTCAATATCGAATTCAACGCAATATCGAGGTGTATCATATAGTTCATATATCATCACAACTTCATCAATTCATTTTCAATTATAAAGAGAATCATTACACATATGTTACCTTGTGAGTTTGTGCCTTTAGTTACACATGATCATGATTTTTTTTTCTTTCTTAATTGTTGTGATTTGCATCTACAAATTTTATGATTGTTGCGTTACAAGTTAAAGTTTATACCACCGTTGAAGTATTAATCAACATCAAGTTGTAATAGATATTTCACAAACAAGAAATTGGGAGCAAATTTGAAGACTAATTTATTTTGATTGGAACTTCCGTTCTCAAGATCTTACAATACATAAAACGGTCATAGATAAGATCTCCAATTTTGACTTTACTAGTCTACTATATGTGTTATAAAATCGGAAAGAAAATACACAAAAATAATTAAAGTATTTGGTCATTTAACTTAATCTGTATTCAATTTCTTTTGAAGGATTAAAAAAAAAAACAAATGTGAATTTTGTTTCACTCAATTTATTGCCAGAAAATTCTAATTTCTTTGATATATTTCAATGTGATTTTAAAACATCATAAGGACCAAAAAGTTGAGAATAAAATAACAAAGAGCATTAATTGGAATAATCTACTTATAAGGGTATATATTGCTAATAGCGTATAGTTTAGGTCTACATGTGCAATAAAAAAGTTAAACCTATTTTCTGGTTTCTCAAACAGAGGTTTATGGTTTGTTGTCCTTTAAACCCTAATTTTGTGGCGCTTCAACTGTTCAAGGGAAATTGTTGATCGTGGCGTGGAGAAATTGATTAAGTGGAATTTCTTAGGGCTTACGAATGACGGATAAGGATCCTTCTTTTCTTTTCTCCGGAATCACATTCAACCGGAAGAGATTCTCCAGTGATTTTGCTCGGTTCAAGGTAAAATAGTTCAGACCTAAGATTCTAGAGCTACTTTATCGTCATAAGAAATGTTCAAGTTGTTCGATATCAAATTCAAGTTCCTAGTTAGTTTGATTAGTTGAATTGCTTTTGGCACATATCTGAATGTTGTTTCATCATGTTCCTGTTCAGGAAAAGAAGGAAATCAATGATTCCGAAGAGACGTTGCCTGAAAACAAAAGTCCTGAGGTGGAGGTGGCAGCAAAGCCTGCTAAAAAGAGGAAGAGGAAGTCATCCGTTTCAGGTAATTCTAGAATATGGGTTTAGTTATATACAAGTACACCTGAATGCGTATAGAGATTTTCCAAGCTTTTTATGTTCTTACTTTGATAGTTTGATTTGTTGCATTGATTTTAGACCCTGTAGAAGGATTTAATGTCTTCAAGAGCTCAAAAACAGAGCCAGTACTTGAAGACAATGAAGAATCTGAAAATGCATCTCAAGGGAAGAAGGAACTATATAGACAAATGGAGGTTCTCTCTTTCTCTGATCATCTTATTCTATACGATCTGAGATAATTATATAAACATCTGATACAAACTTATTCCTTTTGTAAACTCTTTAAAACTCAGAGGGATGCAATTTTCCGTAAGCAACATAACATTCATACATCTGGAAGTAACATCCCATCTCCTCTTCATGATTTTTCAGAGTTGAGGTCAAGGTACTTTCATATCCATTTCTACTATTTAATTATTTATAGAACGAAAATTTCACTTTTACTTATGTTGTTCACAGGTATAAATGCAAACCATATATCTTGCGAAATTTAGCAGAACTTGGAATCAAAGAACCAACACCAATTCAAATGCAAGCCATTCCATTACTCCTATCTGTATGATCTTTTTTATAACATTAAGTTATTAAACTTTTTATATTTTAACATCTATTCTGAATCTCCTTTATGTCACTTTTATTAGGGTAGGGAATGCTTTGCGTGTGCTCCAACTGGTTCAGGAAAAACATTAGCATTTGTTTGTCCTATGCTTATGAAACTAAAGGTACTTAAGTACTTCAATTCATTTGATATTTATTGTAAACATTTGAAACAAATGTTTCACTGACAATTTTTTTTTTATTTTTTTTATTTTTTTTATTTTATATTATCAGCATGCATCAAAAGATGGTGTTCGTGCTGTTATACTTTTGCCTACACGAGAACTAGCCTCTCAAACAGCAAGAGAATGTAAAAAATTAGCAAAAGGAAAGAAATTTTACATAAGGTTAATGACAAAACAACTTGCTAACACTGGTGAATTCTCAAAACTTCCTTGTGACATACTCATCTCTACACCACTTCGATTAAAATCCGCAGTCAACAAAAGGAAGCTTGACTTATCCAGGTTAGTTTTGTCAGTTTTATGGAAGGGCAATCTTGTCATTTTTCATAAGATAAAGAGAATGTTGAATATTGTTTTTTGGTTTTTTCAGGGTTGAGTACCTTGTTTTGGATGAATCTGATAAGCTTTTTGACCTTGGTTTACTGAAACCAGTTGATGCAATTGTGAAAGCGTGTTCAAATCCTTCAATTATTCGTTCATTATTTAGTGCTACTTTACCCGATACAGTTGAAGAACTTGCACGTACAATAATGCATGATGCTGTTCGTGTAATTATTGGAAGAAAGTAATATTTTATTTTTTACTTCCATTATTTACCAATATAGGCAATGTATACTTACATTTATTTACCCATATTAGGAACTCTGCTTCTGAATCAATAAAGCAAAAATTGGTATTTGTTGGGAGTGAAGAAGGAAAGCTTATGGCTCTTCGCCAAACCTTTGAAGAGGTGCAAATAATTAAATAATCATTTGATTTACGATTAATGAAATATTGATTTTAATTTTATGAAGTATTATTGTTTCTTTGCAGAGCTTGAATCCACCGGTATTGGTTTTTGTGCAAAACAAGGAAAGGGCGAAGGATCTTTATCAAGAATTGAGATTTGGTGATATTAGAGTGGATGTTATACATTCTGATCTGTCTCAAGAACAGGTAATTTTTAATTCCAAAAATACAAAAACATTAGAAATTGTCCCTGATTTTTTTTTTTTTTTTTGGTTCAGAGAGAGAATGCGATTGATAACTTCAGAGCTGGGAAGACATGGGTGTTGATTGCGACTGATGTGATTGCACGTGGGATGGATTTCAAAGGGGTCAACTGTGTGGTCAACTATGATTTTCCGGATTCCTCTTCAGCCTACATTCATAGGATTGGTATGTTATTTTATAATTTTTCTTAACGTTTTTTTTTATAAAATTTAGTTTTTGTTTGGTGATTATTGTTTGTTATTTTATTAGGTCGGTCTGGGAGAGCGGGTAGGAGTGGGGAAGCGGTTACATTTTACACGGAAGCGGACACACGATACTTGAAAAATATCGCGAATGTTATGAAAGCAAGTGGTTGTGAAGTCCCTGAATGGATATTGTCGTTACCCAAGCTTAAGTGGAAGAAACATAGACCAAAAAGAGAGTTTTTGTCAACGAAACCACATGATGATGAAGAAGAAGAATAAGTTATAATTAAGCATGTGTTACTTTTATGCATCCCCCACCCCCTCTAAGAATTTGTTTGTAATATTTCAAACACAAACCCAATTTTGGTTGTAATAGGACACATGATTGGATTTTATGCTTTCATTAGTTTCTCTCTCAGGTCTAAATCGATTAAGGTTTAATCCAACAATATACATCTTAATCGCCTTATACAACAACAATACCTAAAGGAGTTGCCCTAGGTTCTATTCCAACTTGCTCCATTTCATTCAACTCATTAACACTCTCTACTTTATCGAATGAACTCATATGTAACCACAATTCGTCTAAAACTCGGTATATTTTATCCCTTTTGTTATGCAAAACATCTTCTACGCAAAACACATGCACTAGTCCCTCAATTTCAATCCAACTTTGCCCCGGAACTTTACCTACACCCTTCTCTTTCATCAACCTTCTCAACTCACCAACCTCTTTCCACTTCCCTAGACCCGCATATATCCCACAAAGCAACACATAACCCGTATAATTCCCCGGATCAATCCTCAATATCTTCTCCACAACCCTTTCACCAATCTCAACATTATTACACGTTTTACACGCAGCCAACACAGTCTTCCACATCACAACATCCGGATCATATGGCATCCGATCAATAAACGTTTCAGCTTCTTTTATCAATCCACCTCGAGCAAGCAAATCGACCACACACGCGTAATGTTCTCGAGTTGGCATGATTCCATGTTTTGTTTCCATGGAATTGAATAACTCCAATCCTTCTTTTATCAATCCCACATGGCTACAGGCGGTTAAAACACCAACAAAAGTTACACCATTCGGGTCGACCCGTGAATCTCTCATTTGTTTAAAGAGATCAAGAGCTTCGTTTCCGTATCCGAATTGAGCATACCCAAGAATCAAACTACTCCATGAGAAAACATCATGATAACACATGTAATCAAAGAGTTTTCGACCGTTTAAAAGGGACCCACATTTCGTGTACATGTCGATTAATCCATTTGTCATGCATATATCAACCTCAAAACCAGTTTTGATTATAAAGCAATGAACTTGTTCCCCTGTTTTTAAAGATGCGAGTTCCCGACAACCCACGAGTAATGAAGCAAAAGTAACATGATCGGGCTTATTGTTAGACAAAACCAATAATCGAAAAAGTTTGAAAACTTTTTCTGATTGTTTATTCTGAATGCAAATGGTAAGTATAGTGTTCCAAGATACCAAATCTTTGTTGTTTTCAAGGTCATTAAAGATTTGAAAAGCATTATCAAGATCCGAACACTTTGCATACATTGAAAGTAAAGTATTACATACAGAAATGTGTATGTCTAACCCTGTTTTAGTCACATAGGAGTGCAATTGTTTACCTTGATGTAGAGTTGATGGAGTTGTGAAAGCACAAAGTAGAGACCTAAGAGTAATGTCATCAGGTTTGAATCCCATGTTTCTCATCTTTGAGAAATAGAATACAGCTTCATTTACATATCCAGAATAAGCAAATCCAGCTATAATTGTGTTCCATGAAACAACATCGGGATTCTCAATCTGACAAAATGCAGTTTTTGCAGAATTCAAAAATCCGAATCTTGCATACATGTCACTAAGTGAACAACCAACAAAAGTGTCGTTTTGGAGCCTGTGTTTTATACTTATTGCGTGTATTTGCTTTCCGTATTCTGGGTGTAGAAGGTTGCCACATGCACTGAGAATACTACCAAAAATGAACTCGTTTGGGTTGTATGTTCCATAGCTGAACATTTTCTTGAAACAGGCTAAAGATTCTTGTTCATAACCAAGTTGAGAAAAGCCAGAAATCATAGAGCTCCATGATATTAAATCTTTTGTCCTTATACTGAAAAACACAAGTGAAGCCTCGGAAATTTTGCCAAAGTTTGTATACATTGTGATTAAAGCGTTTTGGGCTATGAGGTGAGAGCCTGATGATAACTTAATGACATTTGCATGCAGTTGTCTTCCTAACTCGATGCTATTCATACCTGATGAAGCTCTTATTATGCTTCCAAATGTAAACTGATCAGGCATGATGCCTGACAACCGCATTTCACAATACATCTTAATTGCTTCGTTTTCTTGACCAGTTTGCGAGTACCCAGCAATCATTGAAGTCCAAGAGACTACATTTCTCTCAGGCATTTTGTCGAACACCTTGCGAGCATCCTCTAATGATCCGCATTTTCCATACATGTTGAGAATGTGATTACAGAGAATCATATCTGGATGATAATTCGATGCTAGAATATGTTCATGAACTCTTCTGCCTTCTTCAAGCGATCTCAGAGACGAGCATGCAGAAAAGAGATGGGCGTAGGTGCTGGGCTTTACTTGAAAGTTGGTTCTTTCACGTAAAAAATCAAACCCATCCATTGCAGCTTTGAAAAGTTTTTGTTTACACAACGAACTAATGTGGTCATTGCTTGACTGATCTGTTCTGAAGTTGGCAAGAGCAATTGGTCTGCAAGCACGATTAGCGAGCGTTGCCATGGACATGCTATGCTATGATCCAATTTGAAAGCGAAGAGTCGATAACAAAGCTTGAACTGATAAATTGTTGAGCGATGTGGAATCAAAATCTATATATGGCGTTCTCAATTGCAATGGCGGGGTCAATCCACGCCACGGCCATGTCAACATCTTTCGCATATCACCATCTTCTTGGGGACAAATCAAGTAACATTCAAAAACTATTACTATAGTTATGTCATTAAAATTTTTTTTTTAATCGATCTATAAATTTTCCAAGATATGCACTGTTTTTTATTTATCTTATTTTTTATCTATAAATCTATAATTTTTATCTATAAATTATGAGTATTTTTGTTATTCATTTAGCTTTTTCACACATCCTTTAAATCCTAAATTACATTTTAATCCACTAAAAAAATTGAACTCTGAACCCTTAGAAAGGAACACATTTTTATCGAAGATCAAACATTCTTGAGAACCCTATGATTATTAATCCTCTTCCTCCTCTAATAAAAAGAGAATTTCTAGACCACATTAAAATATTCCCAAATCCTTCATATGATGAAAACTTCGATTCCTCTCTACCTTTCTTCCGAAATCAATGATAGCTTTACAATAGAACGAGGAATTTAATATCATTTTGAAATCATGTTTTTTCTACAAGACTGAAGCTTTATAACCTTAATAGAAGGTTTTCTAGATTTTTTTTAACAAAGATGGATGTTTTTTAGATTTTTTCTTAACAAAGATGGTGGTGTTTGGGATTATTATGCTCTTCCCATGGATTTAAATTTCTTCTTCTTCCATTGTTTAGTTCTTGATGAGTCTAACTTGGAATATTTGTTCGAACCCTCAAATACAACAAAGTTATCACCAATCGAATTCAAAAATATTCTAAGTTTGATTATTTGGTTTGTCAATCACCATCGATTACAGATTGAATTGAGATTTTGGTGCGGTCTCTGGGTTGTCAATCGCCACCACCACCGGTTTACCGCCACCGTCTATTTCTCTTTATCTTTATAGATTAATGCTATTAACTAAATGCATAGAAGAACCAAATTTTGAATACCCCAAAGGAACCAAATCGGTACTCTCCCAATTTTATGATGCATAATAGCAAGGTTGTAGAACTCGTTATTCGGTACCTATTCGGCCGACTACCGAGTAGCGAGTACTCGGGGAGTACTCGGATTCGGTAATTCATGTAGAAATATTTTTAGGGAAATTATATATGTCAAAATCATATCATAATTTGATTGAAATATATAACAAAGTTAGATATATGTGATTACACAAAAACTGAAAAACACATAATGGTCTCACTTCGTGAGTAATTACTGGAAATTTAAGATATATATGTAGTAATAATCACATGTGTGTGTGTGTGTTAAATAATAAATCATTAAGTATATTATACATATTAATCACCGAGTTGATCGAATTTTACAACACTGCCCAGTTCAGTAAGGAGTCGATCGGGGAGTACTCGGGATTCTATAACTCGCCTCGGTAAGGGGCCGAGTAGTGAGTACTCGGAGGAGTAATCGGCCAACTCGACGAGTTTTACAACACTGCATAATAGGAAGTAGCACTCTCATTTGTAAGTTTTTTTTCCTTGAATCATCTCCATTTACTATCTTAAAAATAAGATTGTGAATTTCTGATGCATTAAAGGTTGGGATATACTGATTTCAACGTTTTTTTTTTCTTTTAATTTATTTAAGATGATAAAAAGACTGATTTTGGGATATTCACAACACAACTAAGAAGAAATAAGTAGATCTTATGGGTTTTGATGTCCGAAGAGCGTCTATTGTATCTAACTCAGGTGACTGTAATATCATTCTTTTATGTTTATAATTCCGATTTATTTGTTGTAAAAGACATTGAATCTCTGCATTTCATTGGCTAACTCAGGTGAATGTTAACCAAGTTCACCAAGTGTGACTTCTGGTTGCACGAGGTTCAGTTTTTGGGACACCTCGTCAATCATAACGATATCTTGGTCGGCCCAGCCAAGATAGAGGCGGTGATGCAGTGGGAAGTTCCGAGATCTCCATCTGAGATTCGAAGCTTCCTCGGATTGACAGGTTATTATCGGAGATTCATCAGAGACTTCTCAAAGATTGTTGTTCCTCTCACCAGGTTGACAAGGAAGGATGTTGCTTTCAGTTGGGGGCCTGAGCAGCAGACATCATTTGAGACTCTTCGCCAGAGATTGTGTGAGGCGCCAGTACTTGCCCTCCCTAAGGGAGTTGAGGACTTTGTGATCTACTTTGATGCATCCATTGTAGGATTGGGCGTTGTATTGATGCAGATATGTCATGTGATAGCATACGCTTCGAGGCAGCTGAAGCCTCACGAAGCGAAGTATCTTACGCACGATTTAGAGTTGGGGGCAGTGGTTTTCGCCCTCAAGATTTGGAGCCACTATCTCTATGGTGTTCGGTGTACCATCTACACGGACCATAAGAGCCTGAGATATCTAATGGATCAGTCTAACCTGAATATGAGGCAAAGAAGGTGGTTGGATGTAGTGAAAGACTATGATTGTGAGATCTTGTATCATCCGGGCAAGGCCAATGTGGTGGCCGACGCCTTGAGCCGGAGGGC